TGTTGCTTCTCTAATTTTACATGCAAGTATAGCCAAAATCACAGCTCAGCTATTGTCTTTATCTTATGCCTAGCCTATTTGATTTTATCAGACGATGGCTCGATTATAAATCAGGATTTTTGTGCAGATTATCATCTTGGAAGGGAGAGCTGGTTATGTAGTCTTAATGGGTCACGTTTTAGTCACTATTTCATATTCATTCCGTTGTCTGACAACAGAAACAGAAAACCGTTTTATTGAGAATTTATCTGCATCAAAATACAGTATGTGGAGACAGAGAGGCAATCAAATGTAATAATAAATAATAAATGTACAGCATGTTCAGAAGAAGTGAGGCTTGTGTAAGTAAATAGGGTTACACTTTACTTGAAGGGGTGTGCATAAGACTGACATGACACCTTCATAATCATGACATGACACCTACATAATCATGACATGACACATGTCATGAATATGAAGGTTTTTTATGCATGTTTATGACAACTGTCGTTAAGTGTCATTCGTTCCGTTATGTAATTTTTAATGCAAATATGACATTGTTTGAGATGTCTTTGTTATGGGCTATGGTTAGGGGTAAGGGTAGGGGTAGGGTTAGGTTAGGGTTAGGTCAAATAATGTCATATTTACATTAAAAATGACATAACTGAGCGAATGTCACTTAATGACAGTTGTCATAAACATGCATACAACCTCCTTCATATTCATGACATGTGTCATGTCATGATTATGAAGGTGTCATGTCAGTCTTATGCACACCCCTTCAAGTAAAGTGTTACCGTAAATAGCTCTGTGCAAATAAAGAAAAGTAATGGGAACCTGGTATTTGTATGTTCTTTTTTCATGTGTCTAATAGACATGAACAAGTTCTTTGAAAAACATCTATGACCTTTGAAACATGTCTAGTCTTCATGCTCTATGTTGACTATGGTTTCACTAATAATAAACATACATTTGCATAAAGCATCCATATTTGTCCATGCCCATGTTGATTAGAGTATTAAAAACTTGAAAAGTATTAATTTAAGGTACATTTAGAACAGATAAAAATGTGTGATTAAGTTGCAATTAATCACGAGTTAACTCATGATAATCGTGCGATTAATCACGATTAAATATTTTAATCGATTGACAGCCATAATTATTATTAATTAACCGTACAGCAGTATTAATTTTGGCCATTTTTTATTTAGTCTTAGTCTTACTCAAATGTACCTTTTAGTTATCATATTTAGTTAACCTTGTCCTGTTTTTGGTTAGTCAAGTTTAAGTCAATGAAATGTATTAGCATTTTAGTCAGGTTTGAGTCAAATCTTAGTCCCATTTTCGTCATGCTGTATAATGGTTAAAATGATCAAAATTATATTTGCTCAAAATTATAATCGTAATGATTGTTGTCATTTGAGAAATGTACTCTTGCATTTCAGGTATTGCACTTTCACCAGTAAGCACAAATCAGTAGAATGTGGAGTCATAAATGGCGTATTTTTTCTCATCTAGTGTACTGATTTATTATAGACTTTTTATTATATAAATTAATACCAAAGGCTTATGCAATCTCTCTGTCAACATTACGAAAACTGCTAAAACAAACGAAAACATATTATAACAGTGAAATTCCAAGTAATTCCACTAATTCCAAATGGCAATAGCCTATTTCTCTATTAAAACACCAGCGGTTGAGTAAGTGCATTTATTCAGCAACCACAATCGCAAACAATATATTCGAGATCTCATGACAGAACACAGACCGGCTGAATTAAACTTTCATTAAGATCGCTAAACTCAAGCTATTTTGTCGCTGTTTTCAGATCATCGTCGGTGGCGCTTCTGCAATGAGGAGCGAGCGCGTGCACATGGTTGCCAGATTGCTTAAAATAAGC